AATCATAAAACAAATTATCAAAAGTATTAGATGGGAGCAAAATATAAATTAATACAAATGACAGAGATAAATATGATGAACCAATACTCATATTCAGAAAAGTAAAATAATTTGAGTTTAGTTTTGACTTTGCCTTGTTATTGAAATAAGAAATACTATGGGGAAAGAGAAGAGGAGGGAAGAAAAGCACTTAGATCTTCTCCTAATTTGACTACCATAGAAGGGATCTCATGAACCTCATAGTATCTAAACTAAAAAAAAAGAAGGTTAAATAAAAGAGATGGAAAGAGAGACAGAGTCAGAGGCTGAGAGACAGAGACAGAGGCAGAAAGAGACACAGAAAGAAGGATAGAGAATGAATGCGAACACATTTACTAAAAATATATAAATTAAACAGGACACTATGAGGTTTTGTAGTTTGGGGGATAGAGAGGAAATTATCATAATAAAAACCAACAGCAGATGTTTATAAAAGAAAAGACAAGATAACAAGAACAAGTAGTCAATGCTTAAATTGAGAAAGAGGTGGGAATGAAAGAGACTGGATGAGACTGTTCTAAGAAATATTAACTGACACTCTAGTATAGATTTTACACATTTTAAAAGAAATACCATAATAGAATATCTTGTAAGGAACTTAATAATCATCTCTATGAATGTGAATGGCATTAACTTACTCATAAAATGAATGAGGATGACAGAAAGGCTTAGGAGGCTAACCTCAAATCTTTGTAGCATTAAGTCAACAAAAAGCTTCAAAGAGAACTATAATTGAGAGTTGGAATAGAATGCATTATGGCCCAGTTGAGTTTTTTTTTAATAAAGCAGGATTGACAATTATAACCTCAGAAAAAAAAATCTCCATAAAATAGACATAGCTGAGAGAGAAGGAGAGGGGGTGATATATTATCCTTAAAGGTAGCATAAATAATGGAAAAAATAGGAAGGAAGGAAGGCCTGCAATGGCATCTAAGGAAAATCTAACAGAATAATTACAGGACAATTGCTGTTGGTGACTTCTACATATATCTTTCCTTACAACTATATATACAAAACCTACACACACCAAAAAAAACAAAAAAACAAAAACAAAAAATAGGAATTTCCTTAATCATGGCATAATTTACATTTTTATCACAGAGTAATAATTTCTAAACTATCATTTTCTTATATTTCTGACATGTTTTATACTATATTTCTATATAATAGACTTTTAAGAACATATCTATACTGTGCTTTTTATTTTTGCTTTACTTCAAATAAAAACACATGAGGAACACAGCCCTTTTTTTGCTATAGAGCTGCTCTATCCATCCCAAAAAGTTTCTGCAGCATGCAGCTATGAGAACTTAAAAAGAAAAAAAACAAACTCCTAATAAACACCATAAGGAATGAAAGCACTAACATAAGACTACAGCTCCCCCTGTCATATATAACATTCTCTTCCTTTAACTAATATGATCTTTTAACCCACATGGAGATGCCCATTTTTCAAGCTATGTTTTACATGTAGAAATAAAAAGTGATACAATCTCAGCAGCTGCTCTGATTAGAAAAGAATTTGTTTCCTTTATTTTATGCTTTGGCTGAATCCTTAGGAGGTATATCTGAAAGACCACTTCCAGATGGTTTTTTAGGAGATCCTTCTAACAGTTTGCCTTCTGTCAAATTATGGGAAGAATGCTTTCAAGATAGTCCATCATGGTGATGTCAGTGTAAATGCTGGAACTTGTGTAATATGTTGTAATATACTGTATAAAATACCTTGACCTAAATGGTAATGCCAGTAGCCACTGAGTTCCTGGCAAGGGAGCTTATAGTAAAATATTTATTATAATAAAAGTGATGGGGAAAAAGTAAGTGGAGAAAAAAATAGTATTTAAATTACATTCTAATTTGTCTTTAAGTCACATTATGGATGTTAATTATTCATAATGTTAGCATAGAATAATATATTGAATAAGAAGCCTGAATCAAAGAATCTTAGCATCATAAGCAACCTCCAAGATCATCTAGTCCAACTTGTAAATGATCAGGACTCCTTTTCTACCATATACGTAACCAGTGGCTTGTCCATTGATTTTTCATCCAGAATATTCCTCAAGTCTCAGCACTCCTTTTTAATTCTATCACCACTTTAATTTGGTCTCTCACTGTCTTTTTTCTTGTCTATTGTAACTGCCATTAATTAATGACCTAGAGTTTATTTTCTTTCTTTCATTTTTCATACTGCTGTCAGAGTAACCTTTCTAATGCATAATTCTCATCATTGGACATGCTGGTGTCAATTGGTTTTCTATTGTCTATCAAAGAAAGTGTAAAATCTTTCATATGCCATTTAAGAACCTCCACAATAGGAGCAGCTAGGTGGTACAGTGGAGTCAAGAGGACCTAAGTTCAAATCCAGCCTTAGATACATAACATTTACTAGCTGTGTGACTCTGGGCAAGTCACTTAACCCCAATTGCCTCAAAAAAAAAAAAAGAAGAAAACAAAGAACCTTCATAATCTTGTGCCAGTCTACCTTTTCAATAATATTTCATGGTACTCATATGAAGGTAAATTTAGAACTGGAAGAAACCTTAGAGTTCATCCAAAATAACTCCATTTTATAGACTGAGATATAGATAGATAGGATAAATGATTTACTCAGGGCCACTCAAATAGATTTTGAGTTTAGTGCATTATTCACCAAGATACATTGCCTCTTGCTTATATGTTTTCTGTTCTTCAGTCAAAATTGATAAGAAGCCAATGTGGTGCAGTGGAAAATACACTGGCCTTGGAGTCAAAACATTTGAATTCAACATCCAGCTCCATATATTAATTAACTGTATGACTTTGAGCAAGCTATTTCTCTTGTCTGGGTCCAAGTTTTCTCATCTGTTGGTCCATTGTTAGCACAGGTTTGTGCCTATGCTAACAATCTATGTTTCTGTGCCTGTTCACAAATCTTAGTCTGTTCTCTCTTGTCTTTGTGCACACCTTTCTCTATGCCTAGAAGATTCTGCCCCATTTTTATTTATTGACATATATTTTCTTCCTTGAAGGTTTACTTCAGGTACAATCCTCCACAGTTACTCCTGATCCCTTCATCTAGAAGTGATCAGTCCCTTCTTGAATTTCTTGAAGTCTTCTGTATGATTACTTTTGTGGATTTAATATCTAACTTAAAGTTGTACTTCTCATTAACTTACTAGACTATAAGGTCTGTAAGCAGTGAGACTGTCTTTTTTCATCTATGTATTTCTTAGTACATTGTTTTGTACAAAATTGAAGCATAATAAAGTTTAGTTTTATTACATTTTAAGGAAAGTACTTTTCAACCTGCCTTTATATATTAATAAAAGAAACACTTCAAAAACATAAATTTATTATTTCTATTACCAAAATAATTTGTTTTATTCTAAACAATGTTTATTCTAAACAAAGCCTTGAAGGTTGCTTATGATGCTAAGATTCTTTGATTCAGGCTTCTTATTCAATACATTACTCTATGCTAACATTATTAGTAATCAACATCCACAATGTGACTTAAAGACAAATAAGAATAACAAATAAGAATGTTAATAAGTAGAAAACACAAATTACTTATTACTTTGGTATTCAATACTAAAATGAACATTTTAGCTTAATGTACAAAGCTATAGCTTAATAGCTTAATGACAAAGCTCAAAATTATAATTTAGGGCTTTTTCAGAAGGTGATAGAGATGTTTACTAGCAAATAAAACATAAGATTACATAGGAAAAAAAAAGAAGGCACAGCATTCTTGTGCTGTAGGAATCCAAGGAGTATTGCTGATGACATTTCTCTATCATCATGTCAATTCCTTAAAAGTGAGGTCACTAGCTACAATTGGTCTGTGATGGGTCAGGTGCTATATGACTGGGCTAAAGGTGTTGGAAGGTAAGTGGCTAGTTTTTTGAATGACAAAGCCAGAGCACAGAAAGTTTAAGTGACTAATCAGGGAAAATAACACACTGAAGAATAATGTTACCTGTTCAGTCTACTAATCATTGAATCCTGATTCGGAAAGGCTGACTATGTTAAAGAATTCATTTCTTTACCCTAGTTTCTCCCTCTCCTTACTCTACTCTCATACCACCATATCTGAGATGATAGTTATAGAATTATAGCATTGAAGGTCCTAGACACCTTTGAATCCAACCCCTCCATTTTACAAATAAGGAGAGTAAGATACTGAAAGATGTCTAAAGTTGAATTTGAATTGAGGTCTTCCTGATTCCAAGTCTAGTGCCTTCTCTCCTCTACCAAGCTGCCTCCCATGTACTTTCCTTATATACTGTTTGTAGTATAACTTACATGATGGAGTCTATTTGAATATTTTGAAGTCACTCTTTTGTTCCTAAACCTAAATACACTAAGAAAATTAGTGACTAACATTCAGAATATGTAGCATAGTACATCAACCTTATAAAATTAAAAATTTACAATAAGAAGGGAGAATATTGGTTTTGCCCCTCTTATTCCATATGTACCTTGTGAGGTAAAATGTACCCTGGTATTTAAAATAACTCTTAAGGCTAATGATATTTTACATTTCTTTAGAATATTATAGATATATAATTATATATCTACATACTTATAAATGATTATCTTTTATAAAAATACCATGATCTATATCTAGAACTCCCCATTGCTATTGATAAAGTGATTAATGAAATAGTTTGTATTATAACAAGTTGTTGTAGCCTAATATGCACGTAGTTTATAAGACTAGAGAATGAATACATACACTAACTTTTCTCTGTGCAGGTTTCTTTTCTTTTTTTTTTCTTTTACTTTTACTTTGGTCTTATAATAAATAACCCCTACAGAATCCTGAAATCAACCCATGCTTTGGGGCATGATGGACATTCAGAAGCAATCAGAACACCAATGAACATTTGACCTCATCAATTCACTCAAGTTTCGTTTACTTCCTATTGGTATTAATACAATTATAGGTGGATAATTGGATAGATGTTTGGCTTTACCTTTGCTTCAATCTGCTTAGTATCTGGATTCTGAAACAAAAATTTGATTTTGCTTTTGCCGTCATCTGAAGAACCTTTAAGCTGAGAAAACTTGTACCTCCAAAGTACAGCCTGAAGGAAAAAAAAAAAAACACACATACACACACACACACACACACAGAAAAGATACAGGTCAATGAAATTAATAACAAGCTGTGGAGAAAACTAAGAAACATTTTCTTTAAAAAAAAACCAACATCATATAATATGAAAGGAAAACAAGTCATTTCATCTTAATTTTAGATCAACTCACATATCATGGTAGCCAATGCACATAAATACAAGTATTTATCATAATATCCCTTGGTTTCATGACCTTTGCAGTCACTGGACTAAGCATACCCCTAGGTTTACAAATGACTTAAAATAAAATATAATTGGTCAGATACTAATGAATTCTTTTAAAGATATAAATATGATTTTAATGAAGTGTTGTTTAAAAATGTAATCTCATGCAGCTAACTTCAAATACTAAATATGTTTATAAGAAAATTTGATTAGTAAGTAGAAAACACAAATTACTTATTACTTTGGTATTCAATACTAAAGTGAACATTTTTATTTGATAATGCTATAGCTTAATGACAAAGTTCAAAATTATAATTTAGGGCTTTTTCAGAAGGTGATAGAGATGTTTGCTAGCAAATGAAACATAAGATTACATAGAAAAAAAAGGCACAACATTCTTGTGCAGTAGGAATCCAAGGAGTATTGCTAATGACATTTCCCTATCATCATGTCAATTCCTTAAAAGTGAGGTCCCTAGCTACAATTGGTCTGTGACGTGTCAGGTGCTATATGACTGGGCTAAAGGTATTGGAAGGTAAGTGGGTAGTTTTTTTGAATGACAAAGCCACAGCAGAGAAAGTTTAAGTGACTAATCAGAGAAAATAACCCAATGAAGATTAATGTTACCTGTTCAGTCTACTAGTCATTGAATCCTCCTGATTCAGAGGGGTTGGCTATAATACTTGGGCTTCAGAATGCCCCCAGATTGAAGAGGTCAAATAATAGATACAACATACCCACAGTGTCAATGACATGTTGGAAACAAGGGATGAAATGTACGTGTAGAAGGAAAAACACAGACACATCAATAGGAGCACCACTTGCTAGTTCACTCCTCATTCATTCTCTCTGGCTTTGGACCAGTCACTGATGTGGAGAATGCCTCAGTTGTAGCTACTTCAGCTGACATTGGAGAATAGGTCTGGCTGAACTTAGCTAGATATGAAAACATGAGGGCAAAGCATACAAACAACACTATGGATCCTGATAAGCTATGGCCTCTACACAGCTCCAGCTTTGAATGAAGCATCAGTTAATAAATACTTTTATTTCATTTTCTGTCATTTTCTTTACTAACTCATTTGAGTTCTCCCCACAATGTCGAAAGAAAGTAGAGCAGATGTATGTGAGATATAACCCTCATTCAGATAGAAATTTCACTTTATAGCAATTTGCTTTAAGATATGATGTATGCTAGAAAACTATATTCTTGAAAATAATTAAATGTATTTTAATTTAATACAATCTCTTCTTTGACATATTTTGCTAATTTCTTTCAATATCTTTTTTATAATGTGTTGCAGCCCATCATACATGCAGTCTACATACCTCCTGGGGTTCCTCATTTTCTTTGAGACTAGTAGTATTCTCTGTCTCACAATTATTCATCAACCTTTGTACAATACTAGTATTAAAGAAGGCAATTCATTTCAAGGAGAGGTTTAGGGATATTAAGAAGGACATTGAAGTTTCTCAAAGGTAAACAATCTGTTTCATACCTCTTGATCTGTTCTAGTTCCAACTCATTATGCATTTGCAATATCTGTCTAAGATACACATATAAACACACTGATGGATGAGCTCTCTAGGTTGTTTAAGCATTTAAAAAGGTGCATGAACAAAAAAAGATAGGCTTCCCAGCTGGTAACGTGTTAAGAATAAGGCATAACTCCTTTGTTATCCTTTCAGTTATGAGAGGTAGCTAGGTGTCACAGTGTATAGTGTTGGACTTGGAGTCAGGAAGACTTAAATCTAGCTTCAGATACTTACTAGCTGTGTGACCCAAGGCAAGTCTGTCTCAGTTTTCTCATCCATAAAATTGGTATCATAATAGCACCTACCTTCCAAAGTTATTATAAGGGACAATGAGATGATATTTGTAAAGTTATTTGTAAACCTTACAGTACTATATAACTTCTAGTTGTTATTGTTATTGTTATTATTGTGGCTAAAATATATTAAGCCTTTCCTTTTTCCTCAGTTCATTAGGTGGAGAGACAGTATTCTACAGTGGATAGAATGCTACATTTGAAGTCAGGAAAACATGGGTTCAAATTCTCTTCCAATCCACAACTAGCTGTATGAACTGAGTGAGTCACATAACCTCCTTTGGCTTTAACTTCCCCATCTGCAATATGAATGGGTAAGAGGAGAGTGGAGAGTTGAACTTGACAACCTTTAAGGTCCCCTTCAGCTCTATATCTCTGAAAATATAACTTAGAGTGGCATAGACAAAATTTATACAGGATGGATTGCAATCAACACTTTGGAGAGAATATCCACATTTTTGAGATCATAGTTCCATTTGAGTAATTTAAAATTATTCAACAACATATCAAAAGCATTATGCCTCCTGAGATTCTTTAGGACTTTAAATTCAACCAATTTCTCAAAAGTTCTAACAACTTTCAATTACATTCTGTAATCATAAGGTACAAAAATTACTTTGAAAGCTAACTGCAGAGTCAATTCACTCCAAGACATGCAGATCTCCAGCTGCTTTTTTCCCCCCTCTCTAAAAAAGAAATCAGGAAGCATTTTTCATACTTGGTTACATTATGAAGTGAGGGTAGACAGGAAGGGGGGAATAACAACAACAATGAAAAACTACTTCATATGCAGGGAAAATAACAAAATCTCCTAAATTCAATATGAGGGGGCAGCAATGTATCATTAAAAAAAAGAAAGAAAATATATTGTGTCTGAACCATAATAATTTGTCCTTATTGGTACTGTTTAATACTCTACCTGGATGCTTTCAGTCTTTGAATGAGGGCATGCTGCTTGGCCTGATTCTCAAAGGCACATTATATAACATATGGTCCATTAAGTACTCATTTAATAGTTATGAAAAATGTAATAGCTAGTCTAGGTAAAGTATGAATTGCTACCAACTGTGTTTTCTGAAGGTGAACAAAGCAATAATTTGATGGTTGACCAACCTGGAGTTCTAAGGAAAGTATTAAAAAACTTTTTTTCTCCTTCTCTTTCTTCCCATCCTCAATGGCAAGAAGAATAAACTTCCATGACATTTGAGAGAAAGTTTATCAGCTGTTGATGGCCACAAGATCTTTAAAAAATAAAAAGATTTGCTAACTTATTTTTACTAGCTTGTTGCTTAGTCATTTCAATCATGTCCAACTCTTCATGACCTCATTTGAGGTTCTCTTGGCAAAAATAATGGAGTGGTTAGCCATTTCCTTCTTCAGCTCATTTTACAGATGAGGAAACTGAGGCAAACAGGTGATTTGCCCAGGCTCACAGAGCTAGGAAGTGTCTAAAGCCAGATTTTAACTCAGGTCTTCCTGACTCTATACACTTCTCCACCTTGTTATTTGCTATAAAAATGTAGGTGTAGGCAGCATCACATGAGAAAGTAAGCCCAATACAGTGAATAGCTTATTATAGGTATTAAGTAAATAGTTATTAGTTGATTAATTGCTCCTTGATAAATAAAGTCCTGAACTCAGAGTCAGATCAACCTGAATTCAGATTCATCCTTTGACACATTATACTTGATTTTCAAATCAATATGGAGCCAGTGGACTTTATTGCATAGGGGAGACATGCTTTATGAAAAGCACTTTGTTAAGTATGTATAGACAGAGGACAGATAGAAGAAAGAAGAGACTTGAGAAAGAGACACCAATTAGAAGTCCCCTTCAAAAGATTACAAGGGCTTGAAACAAGACAGTGATTATGGAAATATTTAGAAGGGGTTCATTGCAAAAGATTCTGTAGAGATAGAAATGACAAAATCAGGCAATTGATTGGATATGTAAGTTGAGGGAGAGTAAGGAGGAGAAAATGACTCTGTGAAACTGAGTAACTAGAAGGATTGTGATGCCTTTTACAGGAATAGGGAAGAGGAGTGGTTTTGAGGGGAAAGCTCAGCCATCTGACAATCCCCCTCTTTTTGTATAGTTATCTCTTCCACATTGTGACTTTCCCCATTATGGTTTCAATATATCTCTAGTCGGCATAAAAATTTAAATGGGAATTTTGGGGAGTTTTGTGGAAGCTGCAGATAGCACACAAAGGCAAGCAGATGACACATAAAAATTTTAGAAACTCAGAAATGTATAAAATATATATATATACTATTGTGTAGTATCAACATATTTTATCTTTTAATACCATGGTAATTCAGACTTTTTCTCTGGAATAAAGGGAGGAGGCAAAAAATTTTATGTGGATTTTCCAGATTATGGGGGCACTGTGCCCCTAACTCCTGCTATGTGGAAGGGATAACTGTATAAAGAAGCTGTACTGGTGTACAGATAAGAAGTATGACCACACATCAGTTATGCTTAGTGAGAAATCTTTTTTATGCATAAATTGGACAAGATGGTTGTTAAGGACTCCTCCATTTCCCATATTTAGTAATTCTCTGATGCTGGAATCATGGAAGTTGTTTACAGCTTGATTTATAGATTTATACTAAATCATTCCTATAAAGAATCCAAGGAACCTGACATACCATCATAACATCACTGTTTCCTGATCAAAGTCAATCCCCCCCCCTTATTTCTTAGGAGGCACATTTTTTAATCTATAAAAGCCAATGTTGGTGGAATTGTGAACTGGTCCAACCATTCTGGGGAACAATTTGGAAGTATACCCAAAGGACTAAACAATTGTGCATAAACCCAGCAGCCCCACTATTAAGACTGTATCTCAAACAGATTAAAGAAAAAGAAAAAGGACCTAGATGTACAAAAATGTTTACAGCAGCTCTTTTTGTGGTGACAAAAAAATTGGAAATTAAGGGAATGTCCACCAGT